AAAAAAATATCTGGTTTGTCTATGAGATGTCAGAAAAAAGAGGAAGGCGCTCTCTAAAAAAAATAGAAGCTACAAAGTGTTTCGACGTAGCGATCGAATTCTCAACACAGACGCCAAAAGAAGCTGTTGACAACGTGAAATATCGACTTGCAAATTCAGCATGTAAATCTCGTGGACACAGTATAAAAGAATGTTACTCAGTTATAAGTGTACATGCAAGTGTTGCCGAAAACTTTCTCAATCGAACAATCCTTATTTCATCTTCTTTATTTCTACAGTTAACAAAACCGATATATACGTTATCATATTTTGTGTTCAACCAAACTAGATTTTTTTTGTGACAGTGTATTCAAAACACTTTTTTTTGCCAAGAATTATAAAAGATTTCCACTTTCAAACATATTTATTCAGGTAATCCACTGATTACTTTTTCATTTCAAAATATTTTCCTCTCATTTCCACAAGTAGAGACTCGAAAGAATCGACTTTTTTCAGTAAGTTTCTATGCTAAACAGAAAGCAATTTTTATAAATTCTAATATGAACAGCAAAACCTTATGCGTCTAAAAAATGATTGAGGTATATTGATTTCGTGTTTCCGCTATTGAAAAATTGCGAATTTTTTTACACTTGTGAGTTTGTAAGTGTTTATCAGAGACAATAATAGATGAATAATACGGAAAGCACATCAAGAGAAAAAAATTCACAAACGTGATTGCTGTTGTTTTATACCCCTTGGCTTTGACTGGAAACATGATTTATTGGCATTACATCAAGATTTTATTTTGAACTGAATAAATAAACTATTATAAAACAATCTGGTGGAATAAAAAACAGATGAAATACCAACGAGAAAAATCGCCAAATGTCTTATAGTGGGTATTCGCTTTTATATCATGCTCAAGGAATCAATATCGACGTATGAAAGTAATGGTCTGCATTTGTCATCAAATTTCCATAGCTGTAATGGTCAAAAAGACTTAAAATCGAGCAATTTTCTTTGTCTTCAAAGCTTTTTGTCCTGTATCAAAACATAAAGATTTTGATCCTTTGATTTGTAAAAAAATCATTAGGAAAAAAAATGGTTGTTGAAATAAGGGATTAATTGCTCTAAATACTATCGAAATACAACTAATCATCATATCAAGAGAAAAATACAAAAACAGTTTAAACAACAGACATTTGTGAAACAATTTTCTAAGGATGTAGTCAAATAAAAAGAATACAGTAGTATTTGTCTAGACTTTCCTCAAAATGTCACTCCTAATTGCGGTCGAAACAAATTATGATAATGCTGAAAAGGGTACGTTAACATTGAAAAAAAGGTAAAAAGGAAAACTTACAATTATAGAGTCTGACATGGTAATAAAAAAGGTTTTTCCGTCTCTCGGTATCGTAACAAGTTCACCAGGCTGTTTTTCTAAACATAAAAATCTTGAAAAGTACTCGGCAAAAACATGAAGAGAAAGAAAAAAATTGAAAGTTTGAGTACTTGTAACTCGTTAGTATGTCTCCCCTTTCAAAAATGCAATTATTGAAATTCAGAGCATGTTTTTACACTTCTAAAATTCCTGTAGTTCATAAAGACAGTGATAACAGATAAGATTCTTGGCTTGTGGTCCACAACTGGATTTGATTTTTTAAAATTCTGGCTTAGAAATTCTCCGAGCTCGATGTAAAACTATACACATCTCTTTGATGAACCAGATATTGATTTTAATAGCCTGTTATACTTTGGGTTTATTACTTGGGTCAAGAGAACACATCATGATCAGGGCAAGAAATTCTCTTGCTCAATTGTAAACAACCAAACACTACAGGCTACAACCTAGACTGGATGAAATGGCAAGATCCGGGAAAAAGCAAATTGGTTCAAGAAAAGTTTAACACACAAAACAAAAAAAATAATTAACCGAGTGTTTGTATTTCGAAGACTTCCAAAACGCAACCAATGCTAATGTTTCGGCCTTTCCTTTTACTTGCTATTTCATCTCTACTGTAAAAACTTTTGAAATTTAAAATCGGGAACTTTAAGTTAAAGTTTTACAAAATTGTGCAAGGTAATGCACACGTTTAGTAAACGGAAATTTTCGCTGGAGGCTTTTTTACAATTCTTGTCGAAAAAAGTTGTAAGGGGAATCGCTCTGCAAATTCGTCCAAATTTTCCCGCCAAAAGTCTTAGTAAATATGGGAAAACATTTTTCTACGTACCTTTAAATTATATTTAATAGATTTTGAATCAAATAATTACAAAAAGTGGTGGATTCATTGTGCACTTTATTGCTTGAGAAGGAGGTAAATAATAAAAGACAACAACAGAATCAACGCGTGTTTAATAAAACTTGTATAACCTCTTAGAAATACAATGATATTAAAAAGAGACAATAAAAAAATTGGCGCATGCGTAATTTGAGCGCCCGTATTTTTCTAAGTTTTTCGGCGAGAAAATTCAATGCATTTAAACAGATGTTACTTACAGAGAGTATGAATTAAGGAAAAAAAATGGCGCATGCGCATTTTAAGCGCGCCCGTATTTTTTCTAAGTTTTTTGGCGGGAAAATTGAAACGTTTAATCAGATCTTGCCCTCAGAATAACTCCAGAAATTAAATTTACAAATGTTTTAAAATAGCGATAAACTCGAGACTTAACTCCGTATTGTACTTTCTGAAAAACATTGAATAAACCCGTTAAGTTGAACTCAATATTTGATCATGATAGGCCTGATTCCCTTTACTTCTTCTCGTCGATCACGAAGCCTCTGTGAAAATATACTGAAAAAACAAAAAACAAAAAAAACTAACATTAAGTGTGAAGTAAATTTGCGCTAGGCATCAACAGATTATTTCCCTGTAGTCCAGGCTATTTAAAGAGCAACATTTATTTATTATTAAAAAATTATCTTTTGTCTTCAGTTTTTTGAAAAGCCTTTAAAGATTTCATGAAACTTTTTAAAGAGCAACACTGTTTTTCCAATTCCTTTGACAGACTGAATATGCAGGTGCACCTCCTCCTCACCGCCAAAGAATTTAAATATTATTGTAGAGGAATAATTTTGGCATTTGTTATCTGCAATATTGCAAGTATCGGCATAAGAAGACGAGGAAAAACACACTTTCGATTACGCACAGAAAATTAAACATGTACACCTCCTACTCAAAGCCGCAAAATTTAAGGGCAAGAGTTCCGTATGATAACCCACTACTTCATCATGCATTCAGTTCTTCGATGAAAGAAAAACAAAGGCGAAAATGATAGATTATCTTTGAGACTCTTACGCTTTGTTACGAATAGTATGGAGTTATGTGGAAGTCTTTCCAATTT